TTGCTGCTGCTGGTAAATACCATTGAGCTGATTCTGACTCGTATTAACCCTGTGTGGGTTTCCTAGGTGCAGTTACCAGTCAGTGCTTATCTTACAGTGCCTTACCAGGACTCCAAACCCTCAGTCTTCTTATTGGTTTATCACATCATATCACATCATGGAGGGTCATCACAAAAGCTGCCAAACCATTGAGAACCATGCTCAAAGAACATGAAAAGTTGAGCCGTCTCTGTTTCTAAGAAGCATTCTGGCTGCACTTCTAAGACAAATTTATTAATTCTCTGGCATGGTGGTAGTTATGTGTCGTGGAGTTGGTTCCGACTCATAGCGACCCTGTACAGGGTTTCCGAGGCTGTAAATCTTTACAGGAGCAGAAAGCCTCAGCTTTCTCCTGTGGAACAGCTGGTACTTTCGAACTGTTGACCTTGTGGTTCATAACCACTACGCTACCAGAGCTCCTTAAGCATGATTAAGTGTTCTGGAATTCCCATTCTTCCCAGTGTTAGTCATAATTTGTTATGATCCACACAATCAAATGCCTTTGCATAGTCAACAAATCCCAAATAAATATCTCTCTGGAATTTTCTGCTTTCATCTAAGATCCTTCCTATATCAGTACTGATCGCTTTCATTCTGTGTCTTATTCTGAATCCAGCTTCAGTTTCTAGCCATTTCCTGTTGCACTGCTATACATGGTTTTTAATTATCTTCAGCAAAAATTTATTTAATTTTTTTAACTTTATTGTGAATGGAGTGAAGATTTGCAGACAAGATCATTAGCTTTACATTCAAAATTACATATTTTGTTTCATTTCACTGATTACAACCTCCTCCCTGCAACAAAAAGTATCCTCTCTGTGGTTCCCCGTTTACATCTTATATTTCACAAATTTCCAAAGGGCACATTCTGCAGGCCAGCCTCTTGCTCATAGGCACGCAGCCTTTCCTCAGTCCGAGGGCTCAGAGCCTGCAGCTGTCTGGTCTCTCCATTATGCTTCCTCTGTCACTGTGTGCTGTCACTGCTTTTCTAGGTAGGGATCTCACGTGTCACTCCTGCTTGTTCTTCTTGGTGGTCCTGGAGTCATCAAGTAGTGTCTTTCATTTCAGGCCTAGTCCTGAAATGAAAGATGAACTCTACTCTCTCTTTTAGTTATACATCTTCTACAGTTACAGTTGTGACAATCACAGTTAATCCTGCTAGCAGTTACTCACAATTGAATCATAAAATTCTATCACCATTGCCCCCACCCATCCCCTTTCTCCACATCCATCTGGATAAGAGGGAAACTCTTTTCAATGGAGATTTTACCTTACCTCCCTCATTCTGAAACTAAGCACACTCATGAAATCCTGTAAACCAGCCACTTCATACCTTTGTAGTCCCTCACCCCATTTTTGATAGCCAATATGTAAATTTTTAGCAAAATTTTAGTTGTATGTAATATTGATGATATTGTTTGATAATTTCTATAGTCTGTTGAATTGAGCACAGATACAGCTGTCTTCTAGTCAGTTGTCAGGTAGCTGTCTTCCAAATTTCTTGGTATAGTCAATTTATTATGTGCACAGCATTGCATCTGTTTGTTGAAGCTTCACAATTAGTATTCTGTCAACTACTTGAGCCTTGTTTTTTTTGTTTTTAATGTTTTTGTTGTGAATCAAGTAAAAGTCAATAAGGCAGATCATCAGTTTTACATTCAACAAATCATACAGCGTGTTTCATTACAATGATTTTAATTCCCTCCATGTACCATCAGTTAACAGTATATTTCTATTCCTTTTAGAGCCGTTTTTTTTAAACACTCAGGTTGTTTTTTTTTTTTTTTTTAAACACCACCAAAGGGCACAGTCTGCAAGCCTGCCTCCTGGCTGCAAGCTCTCAGCAACTCTCTCCCATGAATCTAGAGTTCTCAGCTGCTCCCTCTCTCCATGTCCCTATGTCTGCCTCCATCTCTGGTGTTGCTGCTTCTCTGGATATGGTTCGGCATTCTGCTTGTGTTCTTCACCTTTGATGGTCCTAGGGTCTTCTGCTTCTGGACTGTAAGATTAACTGCTTGCGTTTTTGTCACGAAACTTCTACCTTTACAATTGTGACAGTTGCAATAGTCATGATAACAATTACTTTTGAATCATAAGACTCTTATCCCCATCTCTTTTTACCAGACCCATCTAGACAAGATGATAACTATTCAGTGGGGACTCTATCTTCCCTCACACACTCTTAAACTAAGCTCCAGTTTGAAAACTTATAAGCCAGTCACTTCATGCCTTTATCACCCCCTCATTTTAGGTAGCCAATGTCTAAATTGCCCGTTCCTGTCTACCCTGTGTACATAGGGAATAATAGCATTGATACTTTATGTGAAGACTCCTTCCCTCACTGTTGGTATTTAGAGTTACTTCCTCCATGAGTATAGTTCAGGTTCATCAAATTGTAGCAATTTATCCTTGGTTCTTTTATAAAAAAAAAAAAAAAATTATCTTCCTCTAATTGAGTTGTGCTTATCAAGCCATCGAGGCTAGGTCAAACGGGTACTACCTGCATGTTTAAGTGTTCTTGTACGTCTCCCCTCACTTCATATCAGCTGGATGCTTCACTCTCAGCTCTAGCCCTCTGTGGCTGTGTCCTTGTCCATGGGCTCAGGTGTCCCCAGGTCTCACCACACTTTGGACCAACCCTTCCTCTTCTCTCTCTCATCTCAACAAGGTCAACGGGAGTCCTTGGAAAGTGGTTGAACTCAGCCCATTTCTTCATTGCTGCTTTTCCCCCTCTTCCACTCACCAGTAGACCATCGTGTTTGTCAGCAAGCTTATATGCCCGCTTATGTGTTCCCTTTGAGTTTTAATCTGAGAGCAGGATTTGTCCTGAGGGAATGTGATTGCTTGCCTTGATGACTTCCTGCGAACAACTTGCTTATTCTTGTAGTAGCCAGTCATACTGCCATTTTTGTTTTGGGTTTTTCCTGATGATCTTTCTTTGAAGATGTATGTTCTGTCACTCTTGCTGTTCCAGGTTAGTCTGCTTGTCCTTTCTAGTGGGAATGCCCTTCCTCAGAAGGTTCTGGATGGGACTCATGATTCCACCTAAGGTCCTATACACTGCAAAGGCTCCGCAAGAGGCCTATTTCACTGGACAAGTTCTAGAACCCCTTTTAGGTATTCCAATCAGTTATAGTATGACCTTGTTTTTTGCCACCACATTTTTGTCAGTTTTTTGTACTGTGATGGCTTGTGTGTCACTGTGATGCTGCATGCTGTGCCACCAATATTTTAAATACCAGCAGGATCACCGATGGTTAATGGATTTCATTTGAGCTTCTAGGCTAAGACTAGGAAGAAGGAAGGGCCTGGCAACCTACTTCTGAAAATACTGGCTAATGCAAACCCTTACGACTAGCAGTGGAACACTACCTGATACTAGAGCCAGAAGATAAGTGTCTCAGGTTGGAAGGCACTGAGAAGATGACATTTTCCTCCAGAGATCTTTTTGACTCTGTTTTTGCAGTCAACTACCGTATTTCTTCCTTGGGACTAGGCTTTTTTTTTTTCCCCCTCTTCTTTTCCTTTAGCTTTTTATTTGAATTGGACAAAGGTTAACAAAGCAGATCGTCTCTTTTATATTCAACAAGTCATGCCTATTTGTTTCTTTTTAGAATTTAAGCATACCTTCTAGGCTTATTTTTTGTTAGTTCTGAGACTCCTAAGTGACCAGCAATGTGAATCCCAGAAGATCTTCACTCTGGTTTTCGGTGGAATCTAAATCAGTTCTTAGACTCCCTAAAACTGCTGAGACTGTTTTCTACTTTGAGAATGCAGCCTTCCTTGCAGTACGTAAGATGATTGTAGTTAAGGCGGGAGTTAACAGTTTGCTTGCTACCGATAAGTCCCGGATGTCAGCCAAAGCTGATTAAAAATGAATTTTGTTAAGTAAGTTCCAGGGGAACAAAGAGCACAGCTTTGCTGAGCTTTGCTGGAGCACACCCCAAAGTGAGCTTTGGCAGGTGATTTTGTGAACCGGCGGAGGGGCGCAGAGACACTTGGCTTTTTTTCTGTTTCACACTCTGATTTCTTTGTAGTACCAAGATCGTCATGACAGCCTTATCTCTCAAATGAAGCTTGTTACCTCATCTTGAATTGCTTATCCAAAAGGCAGCGAGCTCTAAGGTTCTCTGCATTAATAACTGACACTGAAGAAGAAAAGCTTTGTTTGCCTTGGCTTGCTCAGGTTCTCCAGCATAACCTCCTGAGTATATTAGGAAACGTTGAGCTTCTCCAGTGGCTGAGGGGAGCTAGCATTCACCTCGGCCATGGGCAGAGTTCCGTTTATTTACTTTTTCCTCCTATTCACGGCTTCATTCTCCTTTTACTAATGAAAATACGTCAGTGTTTCTCCATTGGTGGGTGCTCATGTACCTCCAAGTTGGAAGAGGATAGCAGTACTTCTGGGAGGAGGGGAGGCCTTGCTGATTCCAAGATCACCGGCTGCTACTCTTTCCTTAGAAGCCAACAGGCTCTCCACCAATCTTTGGACTGACTCAATGATGTACCTGAATTATGGGAGCCCTGGTGGCACAGTTGTTAAGCATCCAGCTGCAAATGAAAAGGTTGGCAGTTTGCTTGGGACAGTTCACCTCTGTCCTACAGGGACGCTGTGACTAGGAACCAACTCCATGGTACTGGAGTACCCTGATTGTAACATGGCACCCCCTTTTCCTTGTCAAAGCCTGATGGGAAATGGTCTTCTGGGTATACTAGGTGAAGGTGAGAAGGGTTGGTCTGTGAGGGTCCGTGCACTGAAAGTGGTGGTTAGGTTCTGAATTAGGTCTATGACTGTGCTCCATGAAGTAGCCAACACACTGTGTTCTCTCCTGGGGAGCAGAGTGGTCACCCTCGTCTTCTATGGAGATCTGAGAATGCCTTTGCTGAGTTCAGGGCCTCTGACTGTGAGTAATTTTCTGATGTCACACTTGTAAGCTAGTTCCTTTCTCTTTTCTCCTCAGAATGAAATGGATGATGTGCCCTTCTTTGATGTCCAACTGCCTTATGAATTGGCAATCAATATATTTCAGTACCTGGACAGGAGAGACCTCGGAAGGTGTGCACAGGTAAGTTGCCATGAGCCAGTCTTCTAGATGTACCTAAAATGTCTGAAGCCTCTGTGGAGCAGAAATGTACAGAACCAAATGACAGATTTGAAGCATCAATGAGCTGGGTAACAACTTCATTGGAGGGAGCTCAGCCCTTACCGGAAGTGATCATCTTTTTGTGAGCAAATCTGCAGGCCTTCACGGAGCTAGCCTGCACAGTCTCTGGGTCAGTAGAGGCCATCCTTAGGTTGGTAGCTGAAGGTCACGACAGTGAAATTGTGTTTCAGGCAGATTGTCCAGATTCCCCTAAGACTCCTAGGACCCCAGTCATTGAGGCCTGTGAGCACTGAGGGAACCACAGATCATTTTGCCCCTCTTGGGCCTGCTTGGGGTCATATGCCCATGGAGGGGTCTGGTGGGAATTTATAGCTAAGTCAGACTTTATTGTATTTGATGAAATACAAATTCAGATTCAGGAGTTCTGGGGTAGGACCAAGAAGCCATGGTGGTACCACGGGTACAGTATTCAGCTACACTGAAAGGACAGCGGTTCAAACCCATCTGCTGCTCCGCAGAAGAAAGTCCGGTTTCTTCCAGATAACAACCCTGGAAACGCTATGGAGCATCTCTGCTTTGTTCTGTTATAAGGTTGTTGTGAATCAGAACTGACTCGATGGCAGTAGAAGCAATTGGACAATAGTGAGATTTTAAATTCTATTTGTTAGGCGATCTGGTGCTCAGTTACTAGCCAAAAGATCAGCAGTTTGAACCCACCACCTCACTTGGTGGGAGAAGGATGTGGCAGTCTGTTTCTGTCAAGACTACCGGGGCAAAAACCAACCAACATACCCATTGCAATCGAGTAGATTTCAACTCACAGTGACCCTGTATAGGGCTCCCAAGACTGTAAGTGTGTGTGAACTTAGAAAGCCTCTCATCTTTCTCCCATAGAGCAACTGGTGGATTTGAACAGTCGACCTTGGTTAGTGCAGTGCTTATCCCACAGTACTACCAAGCGACCTTTCTGTAAAGACTATAGCCTTGGAAACCCTATGGTGCTGTTGTGCTTTGTTCTCTTGGGTTGGCATCGACTTGATAGTAACATGTATGGTTGTCTGGTTTGGGGTTGTTGTTAAGTGCCATTGAGTCGATTCTGACCCATAGCGACCCTCTATAGGGTTTCCAAGGAGCAGCTAGTGAGCTTGAACCACCTACCTTGCAGTTCAAACAACTTTGTAGTCTGACTCATTAACCTGCAGTGCCACGGGGCCTGGGAATTCTGTATTTCTAACTAGCTCTCAGGTGATGCTGATGTGGCCAAGCCTCACTTTGAGAGACAAGGGTTCATGCCATACAAATTGCCCTCTTGTTCTCTTTGTTTTTGGCCACAAGTTTATAATTGATTTCTCATAAGTGTTATGATTTGCTTTACGTAATAAGACTTTTGATGAACAGCGACATTCCCCAGAAGACAATGAAGTATCTATTTGCCACAACTGCTTAAGATTTGATGGTCTAGTAGTTACCATTATCCCATCCTCAGATTCTATAAAGATTTTATATGCCTTTTAGAGAAAGGGTTCAATAAAACTGAGTGGTCGAGGACTTTACAGCAAGGTCCAAAGCACCATAAAAAATGTTAAGTGAAAAATGCCCAGGCGGTTTGAAGGTGGTGAGAGTTTCGAGGTGGTTTCTATTGTGACAGTCCCATGAAGTAGCATGATGCAGGACAACTAAGAGAATTGCTGCTGGTGCTCTATTTCTTTATGAAACATATTGCCAAAAGTTACTCTATTTCCATATGAATTTGAAAAGGTTGTTTGGTATTTTTGGTTGCCATATATTATTTCAGTGGGCTGATTGATAGGCAGTATTTTTCAAGGACAGTATGTCTTTAGGAAATGATGAAAACTATTTCAGTGCTAAAAGTCACTAAATAAAAATTTCCCATAGTGGAACTAAGCCCAACTCAGAGCTTTTCGATGACAGTACCTAAATTGTCTTTTTCTTTCCCCTTGGAAATTTGCTTTGTTAGATTCTAACTTTACACGTTGGCCATGCTCCCAAAAGTTAAAAACAAGGGTGTAGCTAAATGAATCCAATGCCTGGATTTCAGCGTGATGCTGTTAGCTGAAGTCTTGGAACAGTGTCTAATAGCTAGCTGCTTTACACAAAGTCAACATTAGAAGATAAAATCTTCATTCTGGCTGGAGAGCTGCTGTTTTCAGGGACCATTTCTTTTGACACCGCTTTTTGCTGTCTTGCTTTGTTGAGAGCCATGTGGCTTTCACATCTGCGGCTGGCTTTCTCATCCAAAGGGCTTATCAGTTAAAGATACGATCTAGTGGGAGAAGAGCTCCTCTCTTGCCACAATAGGGCTGCATTTCTGGGTAGATTGCTTATGCTGTTGGGATTATTCTGCAGGTGTGAACAGTGAAATTTGCTACACAGTAGTCCAGTTGTCTCCCAGCCTTCTTAGCACTTTGGCCAGGGGCATTTGTTGTTGTTGTCGTCATTGTTCAGCCTAGTGTTCACATGGGTAAGAATAGAAACATTCTGATATTTGTTACTGTTTGGTGTTGTTGAGCCACTTCCAACTCATAGCAACTGTGACATTGTTAAGTGACGTGGAGTCGGTTCCGGCTCATAGCGACCCTGGTGAGTTTGAACTGTCAGTCTTGTGGTTCTAATCGACCTTGTGGCTCCGTGTATTATCCCACAGTGCCACACCAAAACTCCCATAGAACTCTTGTAACAATGTACACTTTTCACACTGAGGTGGCTGCAGATGGCTAGTGGTTGGTAGAATTGGCTTTGTTTTTCTAAATGTTAAAATAGTGTGGTGGTGGTTATGTGCCGTGAAGTCGGTTTCAACTCATTATCTACCCTGTTATAGGGTTTCTGAGGCTGTAAATCTTTACAGGAGCAGAAAGCCTCTTCCATGGAATGACTGGTAGCTTCAAACTGCTGACCTTGAGGTTAGCAGCTCGACTCATAACCACTATACTACCAGAGTAACTTCTTAACACAAATATTACAAATTAATGAAAGTAAATAGTAGTTCTGTTTGTTGCAGTGGTTTTGTTTTTGAAAGAGGGTCCGAGTCCTTCTGTTTAAAGTCATGCCCTTCTGTTTATGATTTTGTTTTGGAGGTCTCACTCTTTCCCCCATCTGTCTCCCACTCCCCTGCCCAACCCAGCCCCCCTTCCTTTCCTCTCTCTGTTTAATCTAGGTGCCTTGGGATTTTAGTGACACTGGGCCAGTTCTGTGGAACTGTCACTGTGAACTCTTATGTGTGCCCTTGGAGAAAACCTGTTTGCTAAAATCTTTCTGCCAAATTAGTAACTGACTGAAGAGCAAGGAACCCCAATTGGGGAGGACTATTGGCTTTGACTTTTACTTCCTTTCCACATCCTTTCCATTTTCTACTTTGAGGCTTTACCCTTTCACAGTGAAAGTTATACTATGTTAGCTGTGGTTCTTCTGTCCTTTAATAATGACTGCTCTAGATCCGTCTTGTCAGTAGCTGTGCCTCAAAGATTTAGTATCTCTGGTCACTAAAACAGGGCTCCTCGTAATCAGTGAAGTGACAAGTTAGATGATTCATTGAGCACCTAGGCCATTTTGGTACTTAGGATTTTATATTCATCTTTCTGTGTGTGTCCTCAGGATTCCTGACACTTTACTGAATACTATGTTTTTAAGTGGATAACAATGACAAAATCGCAAGCTGTTTATTTTTATGATAAAAATGCATGAATCATTCTGAGGAATGACGAATTTTCAGTATTTATCCATATTGATTTTTTGTTAACTTTTTATTTTGAAATAACTACAAGTTCACTGGAAGTTGTAAAGAACTCATGCATAGTGTTTCAGTGTATTCTTCCCCAAGTCTCCTCCAGTGACCGGTCACATCCTCTGTAATGAGGAACACGACAGCAGGGCAGTTCCAGAGTTATTCAGATATCACCAGTTCGCATGCACTTATGTGTGTGCATTTCGTTCTCTGCACTTTTATCATGTGTCGGGGCAGGGGTGGGTCGTGTGACTACCTCCACAAGGAAATACAAAACATGCCGTGTGAAGTATGTGTATTGTGACAGCCATAGCCACCTCTCCCCTCTGCCCCATCTCTAACCCTTGGCAACTCTTACTCTTGTTCTCCATCTCTGAAACTTTGTCGTATGTTGTTTTAATTTTTAAAAAGCATTGTATTTTAGCTATGTGTGTTTCCTTACATGTAATTGTCCATTGTATGTGGGATCCTATGAGTTGGAACCAACTGGACAGTACCTAGCAAGAACAACTTAGCTACGTAAGCAACAGTGTCTTACTATTCAAATAAAAGGCAGAAAAGTACACATAAGAAAGCAATAAGGTAAAAGAGAAGGGTAAACTTACCATTTTTGATACAATTGGTAAGCAAGAAGTATGTGGTACCAACCAAAGAGCTAGATCTGGAACTAAAGCTCCATTCTATTAGATTATGACATTTCAGATGTGAAGGAGGAAAGTGTAATCTTATGTTCTTCCCTGTTGTCCCAGTAGATAGGGGAAGCTGAGTCTGAGCAAAAGAGTGTATGAAAGTCCAGAATTCCACGCCACGTGAGGCTGATTCTGAAGGTCTGTAGCTGCTGGCAGGACTCCCATAGTGCTTCACTCCTGCCTGTGCCGCCAGACTTTTCTCCCAAGGGGATAATGTGGAAGGGTTCTTGCGGGCTGAGACTCAAACTTCAGGAGTCGCCTGGCTGCTCCAGCTGCCTCTCTTAAGACGTTCGGGGAAAAGCAAAGCAACTGTAGAAAGAAAAAGAAAAAAAAAAGAGAACTAGATGAAATTAGAATGGCCAAAAGCATTACAACCATTGAACTTAGTGACATGTACTTGGGAGTTCTTTATGCCATTCACTCTAGTGTGCTTGAGAATTGCCATAATTATAAGGAAGAAAAGCAGAAGGCAAGAAAGAGATTGTGTTTGATTAAGCAAGTCCAAACCTTCTGAGAGCAGTGCCTGTTTG